GGCAAAAATGTTTTTATTTTATCCTCACCCGAGGACAATTTTACATTTATCTTCAGACAGAGTGGGAGGGAGAGAGAGACACATCGAGTGGCTGCCACCCGCACGACCCCAACCAGGACCAGGGATGAACCGCAACTGAGGTACGTGCCATTGGCCACAATCGAACCCAGAACCCCCTGGTCTGCGGGCCAATGCTGTAACCACTGAGCCAAACTGGCCAGGGCAGTGTTGCCAAAAATTTTCAAACGTGTGTAGCTGACTGTTTCGTCAGCACCGGCCTCTTTTCCCTGAGACTGCCAAGTCACGTATGACAACAGTCAGCACAACAATAGCCGTCCAGTATAAATGATGAAAATTATACCCTTTTGTTTTTTTGGTCACATCAGCAAAAAATATATTTTTTGGAGTGTCATAGAATTTTAGTAATTAGTTAATGTGTGCCATGAGATGAAAAAGGTTGAAAATCATTGAACTGCACTGGAAGACAGGACTGGGGCTTTGGGCTGGACGTTAGGGGTTCTGACAGACAGACAGCGGTGGTGTTCCCGCCTAGCGAAGTGGAAGGTGAGCCACTCTAGAGTGACAGCTCATGGGCTTGTCCTCAAGAGTCCCAGTTTACACGTGTTGTCCCCGTGATCTGGGTAGAACAATGCCACGTGGTCACCCGCTCATATTATCATCGCTATTTTGAAGTCCTTGTTAATAACTCTAATACCTGGAGGAGGTGTAGCTGCGCCTGGCGTGTCAGGAAACCCCCGCGATTCTGTTTGACTCGTGCGGAGAGTACAAGGGCGTGGGGAGCGGTCACAGCGGACGTGGGCACGTGAAGCGGGGTGGGGTCCCGAGGAGCCGTGGGCGCTGGGTCAGCTTGGGCTCACCTTTGAGAGCAGTGACAGAGGAACGGGGTGAAACGGGGAGGTTTCAAGCTGGATGACAGACAGGAGGGGCAAGGGGGCAAGAGGAGTGGATGGCAGAAGACGTGGTGAAGGGGTGATAAGTTGGATTTCTCCAGACTGATTTTGAGATGCCAGGAGGGCAGTGGGAGAGTCTTAGCTCTCAGCTGGAAACACGGGACTGACTGTTAGGATGAAGATCTGGTTTTGTAATTATGATCAGGACACAGTGTAGAGATAGAAAAGGGCCAAGGAAACCACCGCAGAAAGGCCCAGGAAGGACGGGGTGGGGCATGAGAGGAGAGTGCCGTCAATGAAGAGGAGGCCTGAGAAGAAGGCACCTTTGCTGTCACTGCTAGAGCTCACGGGGAGGCTGGAGGGAGGTTTCCACAGAGTGATGAGAAACAAGAGATGGCTGAGGAGCCAGAGGCCATGAGGACACAGATTCGGGGAGAAAAGATGACTCATTCGACAAGTTTATTCCTGAGGATGGGAGAGAGAGTAGATTGATGAGGTGAGGATTCTTGGAGCCTTGTGAAGCTTGGACTCTGTGCTCACACAGCAGTCCCCAGCCCACCCCGCCTCCCCAGGCAGCAGGGCTGAAGGGTCCCAGAGCCACTGGCCGGGCCCACAGCGCCCCCTTCCCTTTCCCTGGAGGCTTTGCGCCCTGTCTGCTGGGAGATGCCTGCAGACCCAACATCCTGTGATGTGACACATTTTTATAAATTCCTGGAGACATTATTGCCTCCTCTGCTTATTGAAGCCTTTGTTTGCCTGATTGTTCTTGCTGACTTCTCACTCACAGTTCCTTGACCTTGATTTTAAAGTACTTTAAATTGATTTTTAGAGAGAGAGAGAGATTGGTTTGTGGTTGATTCTTGTATGTGCCCTGACCAGAGATCAAACCCACAGTCTTGGTGTACTGGGACAACACTGTACCCAACTAAACTTGACCTCTTGTTTTTGTCACAGAATCTCAGGGTCAGAACTTTCGAAGTCTTCCCAAGCCCAGCCTCGGCGGTGCCCAGCCGAGGGGCTCCCTTCCCTGACACACATGCTGCTCAGACTGAAAGGAACAAGGCAGAAGGACAGCTAGAACTATTGCCCCACACAGACAGCAAAGTCTCCTAGAATTTTTTTTGGCCTGAGGTGGAATTTAATAAAACACACACTTTTTAGTTAACACATCCTTATCTTTAGTCCAGAAATCTTTTTTCTGTTTCAATTAATGGTTGCATTTGATCACTATTTCTTCCCCTTCTGGGCAACCGTCTAAAGTTCTCGTATTTTTGCTTGTGGACAGTTTTAGTAAAGCATGTGCTGTATTGTGTGCCTGTGTATTGAATTAACAAAATTATAAGCCTCCTTCCATTTTAAGCTTTTCTACTCTCCCATGCTTTCGAGATCAGTCCACGTTCCATGTGCTACGTACAGTTGGCTCTTGAGCAGCGCAGGGCTGGGGATGCCCGCCCACCGCCCACCGCCCACCGCCCACCGTGTGGCCAGCATCCCCGTAGGACTGGTCATCGCCCTCCACACCGTGCAGCCCCGCCTGTGCTGCCCACGGGCTCGGGCTCCTCCGCAGCACAGACGCGTCCTCCCGTGTCTAAGTGAGGAATTTCCTGGGACATGTACCCAGAAACAGGACTCCTAGATCATGACAGAAAGCTGGGACCCTTGCCAGCCCTCAGGATCCTTCTCATGACCATGTACATCTCCCTGCCCCGGGGGTTATCTGGGTGCCTAATTTTATTAATCTGATGAATGTCAAAGTATTTCATTGTGTTGCTCTGGCCAGTTTGGCTCAGCAGCGAGAGCATCAGCCTGCAGTCCAGAGAGACCCGGGTTCGGTTCCCACTAAGGGCATGTACCTCGGTTGCGGTTTGTCCCCGGCCCTGGTGCGGGTGGCAGCCACTCGATGTGTCCCTTTCACATCGATGTTTCTCTCTCTCTCTCTCCCACTCTGTCTGAACAAAATATGGAAAAATGTCCTCGGGTGAGGATTAAAAAAAAGTATTTCATTGTGCTAATTCCCAACTCCGTCATCACCCTGAGCCTTGGCTCACGTCAGCCTTTGTGTTCCCTGCTCTGTGAACTGACTGTTCATATTCTTCACAGATTTTTCTCTCGGGTCCCTGCCTTTTCACTGGTTTGTGGGCTTTTCCTTTTCACCTACATGTACGCCTCTTGTTGGCCTTGGGCACCACAGATATCCGCTCCTCTGTCATGTTTTGGTTAATTTTGTCCAGGAATATTTCATTCTGAGGTAATCAAATTAAATAATTCCTTCATAGTTTGTGCTGTTGGAGGTGTATTTAAGACAGTTTTCTCTTCCTCCTGGTCACACATTTGCTCTCTAACATTACTCTCCATTAGCTGCATGTTTTCACCTTTTACGCCTTTAACCCGCCAGACCTCCTACTTCATGTGTGGCTTCAGGTGGGAATCCGCTTTATTTTTCTATTTTCAACACCACCTTCTCCAGATTCGTTCCTTCTTGTCTGGATTTAGGTACTACTTTTCTCTCAAATCCCTTTGGAAACGGTCTGTTCCGGAGCAGCCTCTGCTCGGCTCTTTGGCTCCTGACCTGCGGGCGGCGGGGGCCGGAGGGCGCGGGGACCGGGCCTCTGCACTCGCACCGCCGCTCGCTCTCCCGCTCTGACCCCCTGAAGGCCTGCGTGGACGTCGGTGCTGGCTCTGATTACTTTGCTTCCCTCATAGGTTTTTGTTTTTAATTTTTGTTTCTTTATTGATTTGAGAGAGAGAGAGGAAAGGAGAGGGAGAGAGAGATAGAAACATCAAGAGAGCATCAACTGTTCACCTCCTGCACGCCCCCCACTGGGGATCGGGCCCACAGCCTGAGCATGTGCCCTGCCCAGGAATCGAACCGGCAACCTTTTGGTGCATGGGTTGACGCTCAACCACTGAGCCACCCTTGCCAGGTGCTTCCCTTATAGTTTATCAAAAACCTGAAAGCAATTTTTTCTAGAAGTGGAAATCATTGATTCTAACCATTAAATTCTTAAACCATATATCCTTAAATCATCAGATTCTTAGCTTCAGGGACCCGGTGAGCCATCCAGACACTGCCTTACGATTCAGGGGAGGCGGCAGGCTCTCCCACAGGGCTCTGCCCCCCCCACCCCCCCGCAGCGGCGCCTCCTCTGGGAGTCTCCCCACAGTGGCTCTCGTGTGGAGCAGTAAGGTTGCAGTGATCGCCTACAGTGGTGGAAGGAGAGAAAAACCCCTAAGTGAAGTAGAAAGGTTCTGTTACCATAAAAACTACCCATTGCTTTTCCCATCTTTATTTATTAAACAGAAACTCATGCTCTTCACCCCAAGCAGGACACTCCAAGGGCTGCCCGTTTTCAGGCAGAATTTCACTTTCCCTCAGCCCAGGATCAGGGCAGCAGCCATGCTTTGTGTGACAAGCGGGTCTGTTTCTAGGAGCGACTGGGCCGCAGAAGCAGGAAGCTCAGGAAGGACGCAGAGGAACTTCGGCGGCTCGGGGCCCAGGAGCCAGTGCAGGTGGGAGTCACAGTCCCGGGAAGGACGGCCTCCGAGTGTCACCGGCCGTGTTCTTGGCCACCTGCCTGTCTCCAGCCTGATGCGCTGGGAGGTCCAGAGGCTGGGAAGCGGGAAGCGGCCGGGCCTTGCGGGTGGAGGCCCCCGGGGCGAGTCAAGCTCTCAGACCTTCGCGTGGTTTGTGTGCTCACTGGAAGCCGGCCTGTTCGGCCTGCTGCCTGGTTGAGGGTCAAAGGAGACTCCACAACTGGAAATCACCGCACGAAACAGAGGGCTCTGGCTCTGAAGTCGCCTTTCTGTGCCTGCTGCTCACTTAGCTCTGGGGCCTCTCCTCGGCCTGTGACCTGACCAAAGGCAGGCAGCGAGGGTGGAGAGAGTGGGGTGCGCCGCCACGTGCACCCTGTCTGTGATGCTCACGGGTGAGCGGGACCAGCTGCCTCGCCGGACCCGGGACGTGCAGGGCAGGGCTACGAGGGGACAGGATGGAGGACTCAGCGTTCTCCCTCAGATGCTGGGGCCGCAGGGCCAGGAGGGAGCTCCCTGACAAGTGAACCCTAGGGAGCGTCTTCTCTGTTGTTTCAGGCAGAGAGCCAGCTGGGCGCCCCCCCGGAGGACGTGCCGGGAGAGGTGTGCAGGGCAGCCGCGCAGCTCAGCAGCCTGGTCTCTGACCTAGAGAGGACGGCCAGGGACCTGGGCGCCAGTACACTCAAGGTGCACCCCGAGGGCCACCAGCCAGATGCTTGTCCAGGACATGGGGTGGCCACACAATGCTGCTGCAGCAGAGTGGGGTGCAGGGGGTGGTGCCATTCTCTCCAGTCTCAAGGTGGCATCCATAGTAGGTTGGGAAGGAATTGGGAGGTGACAGAAACTTGAGAACCGATTGTGATCCTCACTCTCCATCTCTCTTCCAGTACGCCAGTGACTTAATGATCAGGTAGGAGCCGTCCCCTCCCCCACAGGTGCTCACACACAGACCCACAGAAGCACATGCGTGAACGTGGCTTCACCACAGTCAGGGACGTCCCTGCTCCGCTCACCCTGTGCCTTTTTATTACATAACCTGTGGGAAAGTCACCAGCACACACTGAAGGGTTGTTTGTTTCTAGGAGCGCTCCACAAAAGTTAGAAGCTATTTATCCCAAGTTACAGAAAAGAGTCAACAAACCACTTCTTCAGCAACCCTGACCTGTTCCTCCTTGGCTACCCCCTGAGACTCACCTCATCCTCCTCGCTCTATCCAGCCGCCCCTGGGTGCACAGGCTCATGCGAGGTGAGGCCGCCTCTGCACCTGTGGAGCCGGCAGGCCTGTTGAAGGAACATTCTGAGCCCCTGCAGCACTGTCTGTAGCGCTCACCTGGCGCTCCTCATGTCTGTGATGGAGATGGAGGGCGGCCCCCATGCTGCTCCCCTCCTGGTGTTCATGCCCTTGGTGTGACCCCTCCCCTTGGCTGTGCGTTGCTCCTATCGTGGCAGATGGCATAGGGAATGGGGTGCCCTCGCCATGACACCCGGACTGTGCGGGACTGACAGTCAGCGGCCCTGTGGCCAGCAGGCTGCCCCTGGGAGCTGAGAGCAGCCCCCAGCCTTCAGCCAGCGAGAAGCAGGGGCCTCCTGGTGCAGCCGCAAGAAAATGGGTTCTGCCAACAGCTGCGTGACGTGGACGTGGATTCCCTCAGCTGAGCCTCCAGGTGGGGAGTCAGCCCGAGCACAGGGCCCGGGGTGCGGCCCGCAGAAACGGCAATGTGTAAATGTATGTCGTTTTGAGACATTAAATTTGTAATGTTTACGGAGCAGTGGGCAGCTCATGTATTCACTTCTCTGGGTGAGGAAGGACAGAATTCTGTCTGTGTGTCCCCAGCGTCTAAGCCAGTGCCGGGCTCATGGTGAGTTGATGCCCAGTGAAATGTATTAAGTGGATGATGAGTGAACAGTATGTACTGAGCCCCTGCTGAAGCAGTCAGCACCGTGCGGGTACCAAGGGGTATGAAGAACAAGGCCTGGCCTCAGGGCTGTGGTGCAGCGAGTGGAACCTGAAGTGTGACCCCGTCCTGACACCTAACTGCTCTGTAGCCATGGGCCAACCTCAGCACCACCCTCTCTAAACGAAGATAATGGCACCTGTGGCCTGGGATTGCTGGAAGAATCGGTTGTGTGTATGCTGCAGTGCCTAACATGCTGTGAGCATTCAAACGTTGTGAGTGTGTCTTCTGACTCTGTTCTCCCAGGACGGACACCTACGGACAAGCAGGAGCGTGTCGATGGATGGGTGAAATGTCCCAGGGGCTCCGTGCTGTGGGGACTCAGAGGACAGACCTGAGAGGATGAGAAAGTCAGGCTCGGCTTTGCGGGGGAGGTGGGACTAGACCCTGGGAAAGACGAGAGCATCCGGGTCCGGGAAGCCCCACGAGTGAGAGTGGGGATGGGAAAAGCCATGGCACAGCGGTAGGAACAGGAGGCCGATCTGCTTGGTCTGGAGTATCGAGGAGCAGGGAGACCAGAGCCAGCGGAGTGCCGAGCGAGCAGCCCCGATGCAGACCCCGTCCTGGGTTCTGGGTCTGGAGGGCAGGGAGCGAGAGGTGTGGAAGGAAAACCAGCCTGGACTCTGGGTGCAGGTGGATGGGGATGAGGAGTGGGGGGCTGGGAGAGGGTGAAGGAGAAAGAGCCCAGTGAAGATCAGAGAAAAAGGTATAGTTACTAGGCAGGGAGCTGGAAACATGAGACCCCAGATCTAATGAGACAACAGCCGAGGAAAGAACAGCCCTGGGTGTCACCGCTAGTAGTTCCTGCACCTAGGTAGGGTTAGCATCACTCAGAGAATTTGACCAGAAGTGTCCTACCCTGCACCCTGGCCAGTGGCTCAGTAGGTTGGGTGTCATCCCATGCATTGAAAGGTTGCCGGTTCAATTCCCGGACAGGGCACATGCCCAGGTTATAGACTTGATCCCACGTGAGGGACGAGCAGGAGGCCACTGAGCGATGTTTCTCTCTCTTCCTCTTCCTTCCACTCTCTCTAAAGTCAAAGAAAAAAATCTTTAAAAAAAGTACTATTTAAAAAAATCCTGGCTGCATGATCTTGGCTGAGCTAAAAACCAAACTCATTAGGCCCCATTTTCTCAACTTTAAAGCAGGGATACTGACAGCAGCCTCTCTTGAGGTGCCGGTGCCGGGGGAGCGCTGGCCTCTGCGTGAGTCCCCAGCCGGCAGCCGGCGCACTTCTGCCCTTGAGGCTGTGACGGTGCTCGTAAAGAGCCCAGCTGAAATCGATAAGAATAAGCAGAAAGACACAATCCACTTTTTGGTGAAATCCCAGATTTAGGGGTTTTGAATATGTTTTATCATTACCTAGAAACTTATAGGTATCTAGCTTTTTTTTTTTTAATATACAACATTTTATATGAAATATTGAGCACACCCAGGGAAAGCAATTCAGTCCCCTTCCAATCCCTGGCTCCCAATTTCCGCACCTTTTCTACCTGCCAAACTGAGGATGAAGAATAAAACTTCCCGATGCCCTCTGAGTCTGGGCCTCCCAACTCGGTGCCCACTCCCTTTGAGGTTGCTCTTGGGGGACTCCTCCTCCCAGGGGCCCCCATGGGAGGTGAGAGACACTGTAGTTTATGTCTGATCAGAATAAACAGATAATGTTAAAGAGATTGTCCATGAAGATGTTTAAGCAGAATAAAAAAGACAATACCAACAAGAATTAGAAAATAAAATACGTTAAGACAATATTTTTATTGTGCATAAGATTTAAGACTCCACCCTGAACAACTGAAATCACTCCCAGCCATGTATTAGGGTTGTCCCGCCCCGGAGTCAGCGCCAGGCAGGGAGATTCTCAAGCTACCAGCTCATTCAGCTCCTTCCCGTCACACATGTTCACAGCACCCCGGCTTCCCCATCCACACATCTCCAACCCCCCAGTCTCTTCTTCCTTCCTTCTCAGCCCTCAGCTGTCACTGTTTGTCCAGCCCTGGAGCGGCCTCATTTCTTTGGATTAAAGGTCACAGGTCACCCCCACGCCCTGCCTCCGCCTGGGATGCTCGCCCAGCAGCCCAGCACAGGGTTGAGACGGTGCTAGTTCTCCCCCCCCAGCCCAGCTACTTGGCGCATTTCTTCCCACGTGTTCCTTTCATGTCTCCATCTCAGGGGGGGACCAACGGATCAGGAAAAAGAGTTCCCCCAAGAGTTGAGTATGTTCCTTGAGCTATGGTTTATGGCCATACTCCCCTCACCCCCTGATCTCCAGGATGGAGATGCCCCTCCTCTGAACTCCCCTGACACCCTTGTCACACCCCTACACAGTACCCATCACCTGTTGCTATAATTTCCTCTTCATGTCTGTCTTTTCCCACACACTCCTTCAGACAAGGGTCATGTGTTTTGTTTGTTTGTTTTTCTTTTTTTTGTCGTTGTTCAGATAGAGTGGGAAAAAGAGAGAGAGAGAGAAACATCGACGTGAAAGAGACACATCGAGTGGCTGCCACCCACACGACCGACCAGGGCCGGGGACAAACTACAACCAAGGTACATGCCCTAGCGAGAACCGAACCCGGGTCTCTCCGGACCGCAGGCCGACGCTCTAACCGCTGAGCCAAACCGGCCAGGGCTCTTTTCTTTTTTTATATCACCAATGACTACCATTCTGCTGGGCTCAGAATTAACACACAATACATGTTTCTTGAGACTAGGAGTAAATGAACCCTAATATTTTCGGAAGAAAACAAGATGAAGAGAGGTGAGACGCCCTGCCGCAGACAGCCCAGTTGCTTGGTCCAAGGCAGTGAGCAGACCCAAGCCTTGCGGCTGCTCGTCGGTCCTCCTCCTGCACAGCTACTTCTGCCGGGGGTGCTGGTGAGGGCACCCTGACTGTGTACTGGGCACTGAGCAAAGGCCTTGATCGCAGATCGAAGATCATCCCTCCTTGTCCTTGCCCAAGTCTTGACTCCATTATATCATCTAAAACAGTAGTTTCTGTCTCAGATCTTCCAGGGCCCAGCCAGGGCTCAGGGCCATGCGGCCTTCACTTGGAGCGGCAGAGGAAGGTAACTTCACCGCGTCAGGAGCACAGGGAGAAACTGGACCCTCGGCCCCAGAGCCCAAAGAAGGGGAACACCTTCTGGGTGAAGGAGGCAGTGAAGGTGTAGATGGGCTCCTGGGTGACAGCGTTGACAAAGGTCACCCAGCCCACCTCGTAATCCAGAGACACCCGCACCTGTCGCGGCGGCTCCTGCAGGGCTAGACGCACGGGGAAGGAGCCCAGGGCCGAGACGAAGCCCCACGCCAGCCTCACGGCCCACACCCCGTCCTCCGGCCGCAGCCGCAGCTCCCCTTTCCGCCGCACGTCCTCACCAACCACGCCCACGAGGCAGCTGCCCCCGTGGGCCAAGTCCACACTCACCACCCAGGTGTGTCTTCCCCCGGTGAAGCCACCGTGGGCCAGGACACAGGTGGCCCGGTCAAAACGCTGGGGGTTGTCTGGCGAGTTCTGCCATTTGTAGGAGAACCGAGCCTGCCGGTGGTCCTCAGACAGGAGGAGCTTGGGGTGGGAAGTCTGCGGGTCTAGAGAGATGCGCGCTGTGGGAAAGAAACCAGAAGGGACACAGATGTCAGCAGACACGTCGTCTCTTGCGGAAGACCCAAAAGTGCCCCGGCACCCACCTCCGCGGACCAGCACCTGGGGCCGCGCACCCGTGAGCAACAGGCGCTCAGGGTTCACCCCAGAACACCTGAATCTCTTTTTAACAAGGTCCGCAGGCGATGTGCGTGCACGTGGAGCCCCAGAGGCCTGCGCCAGAGGGTGTCCTGCTGCCCGGGCTGTGCTCTGGGCCTCTGGAGGCGTCGACGCCCACAGCTGGACACACGGGTCCCCTCCTGGACCTGGGGCCGGAGGACCGGGCCGCAGACTCTCCCCTCTCCGCCCACACCTGCGGTCATTCGGGCTCTGCTCCGGTCATTCTGCCTCAGTAAGTCTAAAACCGTCAGTCTAGGGACTACTTTCTAACAACAAACGTGTCTGTAGACCCCTGCACATTGTGACTTCAGTACCATAAATTGGAACAAAGTGATCAATTCAGATATGTGCATGGGTTAGAGTCCCTTCAACAACTCTGTGGCTTTTCCAGGTCTTCCGCTGAGTGAACAACCACCTCCAGTGGGGTCCACTCTGTTCATTTCTTCCCCCACTGGCTGCCTCCTTCAGACACTGCAAAGGAGTAGGGGCAACCCCCACGGTTCTAAGAGTGTGATTCTAAACCCAGATCAAAGTTCCCCTCCTCCAGGACGTCTTCCCTGATACACCTGGTCTCATTTTTATTTAATCATTCTACCCTCTAATCATGTGTAGATCAGAACAGGTACTTAATGCCAGGTAGGTGGTAAGTCAGTGCTTTGTTCTCAGGCAAGTCTGCAGAGGTAGTGTGTGTGTGTGTGTGTGTGTGTGTGTGTGTATTTGAGTCGTTCTCAATTTTAGATTCCTCTCTCCCTCCCATCCAGATGCAGGCTGCTCACCTGGTTCATAGTCCAACTCAAAGCAGAGATTTTCTGTAAAGAGGGAAGAAAGCAGGATGAGATTCCATTAGTCTCATAAAAACCATAGACCAGTTAATGATGGAGAAACTGAGGCCCAAAGAAGGGAAGAGACGGAGAAGAACGAGGGCTGGAACCCTCCAGACCCGTGACCTGGACTTGAGCTTGCCAGAGTCCCTGGAACTCGCTGGGGCACACTGGTTCTGACCCAGCGGGCCGGGTCCCTGAGAATCTGCATGTCTAACGAGCTCACAGGAGCTGCTGCTGGTCGGGAGCCCACTTCAAGGCCCGCTCCCCTCGCCCTGAGCAGAGCCGAGGATATAATAAATGCTCAAGAAATACCGGCTTACCGAATGGGTAAGTGGGCTAATTTACTTCTTGTTCTGCGTGGAAACTTTCGGGATTGTCAAAGATCAGTCTTTGATCAGAGTAAAACTGCTTCACTGCCAGGCCACTGGGAGCAGAGCAGGCAGAGCGGTGACACTTCTGTGGGTTAGTGTCCTGAAACCAGCGGCGTCGTTCACGCTGCCAGGTGGGGGAGGTGTTGACAGAGAGCCACATTCCTGACTGTCCAGCCCTCCACACCCTCTCCTCCCACTCCCGCCCCGAAAGGGGCACGGTCCCCACAGGGCGGCTGCCTCGGGACCAGCCGGACTGGGAAGCCAGGGACGGAGTCAGCTACCACAGGCCGGAGAGAGATTGTTGCTGTTATTAACTAAGTGTTCATCTTCAAAAACCTATCATACTACAAATGCTTCTATAGTATGAAAGTACTTGAGAATAATAGATTTTCTTAATCATTATCTTTCTTTTCAATTTAATTTTAAAAACTTTTATTTTGACATCACCATTTATCCCCTCTATACCCTCTTCTACATCCATGCTCCACCCCCCACAAATAACTGTTGTCCCTGTCGAGTTCTCTATTTTTTGCTCAATGCCCCACCCCCAACAACCCACCCCACTGCCACCAGAGCTGCCTGCCTGCTCTCTAGCTATGTGTCTGTCTCCGTTTTGCTTGGTAGTTCAGTCTGTTCATTAAATTGCAGCTATGAGTGAAATCCTATGGTACGTGTCTTTCTCTGACTGGCTTCTTTCCCTTGGCTTGTTCTCCAGGTCCAGTCATGCTGTCACAAAAGGTAAACGTTTCTTCCTAATCATTATCGTTCTAATTGCGTAATGCCCATTGACCAGATTTGTGGTTTTCACTCAGTTAAATTTTTTTTCCAGACATCTTCACCTTTATTATTTCTTTTTACTATCACATCCTCATAAAGTTCTGCAAATGAGGACACCAAGGCACTGGGGGGGTGAGAGCCTCTCCAGGGGTGACCTGTGCTGGGTGACGCCTGGGGAAGCTTACCCAGGAACATCTTCATCTCCCTCTGCAGCGGGAGTGCCTGCTGGGGGAAGTCCCGAATCCTCTGGCCCAGCTCAGGGGACACAGCCTCTGGTTTTCGGCACTTTCTGGTTTCACATCTAGGAGCACAGAATGATGGCCTTGGGCATCCTCCTCTCACGATCCCTGCAGGCTCGGCCAGTCACCTTCCTCTCCCGGGGCACAGAGGAGCCAGTTCCCACAGGACGGACCTCACTGCCCGCCCTTGGGCAGTGCTGCAGGTGTGTTTTTCTACCGCCGTATGTGGGAATGCATTTGAGTAAGCGAAAGTGTACATGTGAAATTTTATCCTAAATGTGAGCATGTCATAAATGTGTGTGGCACTAACTGGGCTTGTGGTGCATGTGGTGTATTAGGTGGGAAAGGAGAGGAACTACAGCTCTTACCTTATTAAAGTGCTTCTGATATTCTAGGAGGAGAGAGAGAGGAAGCAGGGATTCAGTTTCCACCTCCCCTCTCCCCCCTTTCTGATAACTAGTAAAGACAAAATACCGTATTCCTAGCCTGGATACAGGGAAAGGATACCAGATCCACAGAGGCACAGCATTGCCAACCAATGAGGCTTCTGGGGTCACAGAGCCCAGCCCCTTTCGTTTATAGCTCCAGAAGGGGAAGTAACCTGCCCCTGCTGCCAGAGGCAAAGGCAAGTCCCACCCAAGGCCTCCTGTTCTCAGTCCTGCGTGTCCCCGAATCATGCTGCCTTCTGATGCTTTGCGGGGACCCCAATATCGCCGCTCCAGTGGGAGGAGGTGAAATAGGCCAGGAAGAACTTCCCGACAGGGACAGCACAGAGAAGAGTTTGCCTTGGGAGAGACAGCTGACACCTGTTTGCACAGCACCTGATGCGTTCACTTGCACTCACTGTTGCACCATCACAAAACCCTGTGAAGTGGGGAAGGAGAGTGTCTTCCCTACTTGATGGAGAGACTGAGACCAGGGAAGCAAGGACTAGAACTCAGAATTTCCGGTCTGTGGCCTCTCTTTCACTGGGGATGCACAGATGTGTGAGTGGAGGAGACACGGCTCAGACAAAGTGAAGGTGCAAGAGGAAGCCCAGGCCGGCGGCGCGGGGCAGGTCTCACCGTCAGGAGTTCCTTGGCCGGTCTCTCCTTTTTCTCCTCCAGCTCTGTGATCAGGGCGCTAAACCGGCACATCTCCCCAGTGACCAGGGCATCAAACTCATCCCGTTGCTTCAGGATGTCCTCATCCAGCCTCTCCAACTGGGCTAAAAGGACGCTGTGCTGCCCCTCCAAGAACCGGCTCAGAGATGCAAACTCAGAAATCACTCTTTGTCTCTTGGTGGCCACCTGAGTCTGAGGGGACCAGAAGAAAGGCCAGCAGGAGGTTACTCCTCCTCCTTTTCCTCTTCCTTCTTGTTTTTCCTTAGTTCTCTCCCATCTCCCTCTGGCCCAGATCCACATCCTCCAAGGTTCAGTGGTAAAATCAGAGCCCCTGCCTCCCCTCTCCCAGGTCCCCAGACATGGAAGGGCAGCAGACTCCCTTCCACCTGCCGCACCGCTGCAGGAAGCGATACTGGCCAGTGTTGCCGCAGAGGAATGGAGGGAGGCGCAGGGGACACGCTACCTCCCGCCTTTCTTAGACACGCTATGTGCACGGCCCTGAGCTGCAGTACAGGCTCAGTCTCGTGTCAGTCTTCACAGAAATTCCAGGAGGTAGTACAAAAAGGTAATCTCCACAGAAATATAAACAGAATAGAGTTGCTAGAAGTCAGAGCTAGTTAGTGTCAGAGTCAGGGTGCAAACTCAGAATGACAGCAAAGCCCATGGCTGTGGTACTGGGTTTCAAGGAGGCCCTGGTCCCTGAGGAGGGGGTGGCTCGTGGGGGACATCCTACCTGGAGGACTTGTATCCTTTGATTTTCCCTTGACTGAATTTCTTGAATCTCCTCTCTCTCTTTTCTTAGACACTCAAGACACTTCTGTATCTGTTCCTGGAGAGAAGGAGCATAAGACATTTGAGACGGAAACAAGGTCTGCTACAGGCTTTCATCTCATCCGAACCCCTGCCTCCGGGAAGGGACCCCCCGGGGAAGGAGCTGTCCCTCAGCTGGCAGTGCCTGGGCCTTAATTGTCCTGATTTATTTTGCCGTTGGTAAGTGGAATCTGGGATCTGTCCTGAGCTTGGTATGCCCGTCTTTGAAAGTATTCCAACTTTCTCCAATGCCTCAAGGGAGCACACCCAAACAACCCTCTCATATGAATGGAATCAGTTTTCCGAGTATGATTCAGAAGCAGAGAAGAAACTTGGATAATGCAAATCAACCAGTGAGCTGTTTTAAAATTGCTTGCTCTAGAATAGAGATAGGAACAGGTATACACGCGTACATGTTCATATAGGTGAATCTGGAAGTACATATAAAACTCTCAGCATCAAATACTAAATAACTGACACATACACTCCCTTATACTAAAAACAATACCCAACAACAAAACCCAGCACACACTCCTTTATGACAGATACAGTTACACACCACATATAGTTACTTAACTTGCATATATACAAATGCCAACTGATTCACAGCCGGAGCACTCAAACGGTTACACCGACACACTCAAGCAGGAAACACACGTGGACACGCACATCCGTGCCGTCGTCCCCTCAGTGCAAACACACGCCCTGGACGCACACACTCGCCTCTGGTCACTCATCCAGGCGACAGTATTCACTAAGCTCCGCTCCTATACTGCCCATAAGTGAGCAGCACAGAGCAGCTTCAATACGACCCTCGCAGGCCCGGCTCCGCCGCCTGGGTGAGACGGGAGTCGGGAGATGGAGCCTGGCTCCTCAGGGACCCAGATCATCCACAGCCCCGCTCGGCCGAGTGGCCGGCCCAGCCCGGCAGCCCGGCGGCCTCCTACCCGGTAGGGCCCGGCGGCCTCCTCCAGGAAGCGCACGGTGTGTGCGCGGTGCTCGGCGGCCGCCCGGCACACCACGCACAGCTGCGCCTCGTCGTCCTCGCAGAAGAAGTAGACCTTCTCCCCGTGCTGCGGGCAGGCGTCCTCCTCGGCGGGCCCCGAGCGCGCCTTGTGGCGCTGGATGTTCTCCACCACGCTGGCCAGCTGCCAGTTGGGCCGGAAGCCCCCGGGCCGGAAAGGCTCCTTGCAGAGTGGGCAGGCGGGGAGCTCCTCCGGGGCCGGGCCCGGGACCTCACAGTACCGGGTGAGGCAGCCACGGCAGAAGTTGTGGCCGCAGTCGATGGTGACCGGCTCCCTGAGGGAGCCCTGGCAGATGGGACAGTTGACCTCCTCTTCCAGGCTGGTCACAAAGGTGGCCGAGGCCATGGTGCTGCTGCGCCCGGGGCCCCTCAAGGCCACCCTCTCTGCTGGCTGAGGAGGAAGGGCTGGGAGAACAGTGAGGACTGTCGCACTCACGCCAGGGCGCCCTCTGCCCCTGTTGGCCGGGGCTCTGCCGTCCTCCTCCCCCGGAACGGACACACACCTCGGACAGCAGAGAGCACAGGGAGCAGAGGTGAGGGAGGAAGCCGGGGTCACAGCGTTCCAGAGATGACCTCAGTTCTCTCTGCACCGGCGTCCGTGGCCTGGGACCTGCCGTTTCTCACCCGTGCAGGCAGACACTTGGGCAGGGGGAATAGGTGCTGTCTCACCGTCCACAGTGGGCAGAGATCGTTCTTCTTGTGGGGGCAGGAGGGAGAGCCTGACCCAGCCCAGCCTCCCTGCCTGCTGTCTCTGCGGAGATGAGAGGTATCAGCCAGCCCAGGGGGGTGTGGGGACCAAGATAAGGTGGCTGTGCCCACAGAACATGCACAGGCCACTTCGCCAGTGATGCCCGGGGCCTGCCCCAGGCTCCCAGACAGGTGCCTGGGTGGGGGAGGAGAAGGAAAACGGCAGCAGCCAGCCTTTACTTATGATGACTACAGTCCTCACACTGTGACACCAGTGCTTTCAGGGTTAGCTGGGCTCCATCGGGTAATTTCCAAGGCGGACAGGCCGGGCGGGGTGTGAAGACCATGCGAGCCGCAGGTGCAGTTGGAACCGTTCTCGTAGGCATGATCTAAAATGTAAAAAGTGAAGACAATTTTAATATCTTATTTGGTGTCAAACATTATCATCGTATTATAATCATTATAAAAATTAGGACTGGTGCTGTCGCACTTGGACTGGCCGGCCGGGCAGGATGGCTCCAGGGCCGCCCTCCAGGCTGGCGGGCGGGGGCTGGAGGGAAGGCTGTGCCCGAGCAGCTGCCACAAAGGCAGTGCAGCAGGTTGGGGCTGACCATCGCCCAGAATGGAAGGAGTTGTGTTCGGTTTTGGTCAGAGGTGCAGGGAGTGGCTGAAGAACTGTGGTTGTTTGGTCATTGTCTTGCTGGGAGTCTTGGAAGAGTACAGGCTGGAAGTTGGCCAATGAGCCAGGACAGGTGGGACAGGGAAACTGAGGCAGGGCTGAACAAACTGGCAGAGCAATTACAGCAGACACAGACGGCCCCTCCCTAGGGTAACAGCGAGGCCTCAGCTGTATTTCAGCCCCAGGCCCAGAAAAGCTGAAAAACCATGTGGGGGCACCAGGACCAGCTGCGCTGACCAACAACCCCCTGTCCTGACACTGACCAATCAGTGAGGACCGACCCTGAAGGACACACCTGGAGAACTAATGAACAGTCTGCTGAACCCTCCCCTGTGGTCCCGCCCCCCCCCCCAAGAGAGGGATGAAATCCTCAAGACAAAGGCCCCAGTGGGAGCTCCCCTCCCGGGAGCAGTCTGTGCCTTCCCCACCCCCATCGTCCCCCACGGGCAGCATCTCCTAGACTCGGAGGGACCCACAATGCTTGCAACCAGGGCAGCAGTTCATCCCAGACAAACCCCCTGAGCCTGGCCCCAAGGTCCCCTTTTCTCTGACCTCAGTGAGCCGAAGCAGCCCAGCCTGGGCTCCTTTCCCAGCCCTTCCTCGGTTCACTGTCCCCAGCTTTCATACACGTGTGTGGGAAGCCAGCTCATGTGACAAAGTCTGAGAGCAAGGTTTACAGAGTAACCTGTGAAAGGCTCTGGAGCGCTCTCTTTATTTTCAGGGAGTCTGGTTATCTAGGGGTTAAAGCAAATATGATAGTGCCTGCAAGACGAAGCTGGAGGAAAGAGAAGCTAGCCCAAGGTTAGAAGATTAAGCAGGAATGCAAGGCAAAGATAACTTGGCTGGGAAAATAGGGAGCCAGGATTTGTAATTAGGACACGAGCAAAAATTCCGAGAACTTAAACAATATGTGCTTATGCAATTTATGTAATCTTATGCTATAAATGTAGGCTTAAAAATAAACTCGGGGCGACAGTCTCTCTGTCAGCCCTCCCGATCCCATTCTTTGTTGTCTGTCTTTTCTCAGTCCTCACTCCCCCTTCGGGACCATTCGATCTTGTCCGCAGGCCCCACAAGTGGCGCGGGAACAGGGACCTGACACGGGGACGAAGGGAAGGACCCTGCTGGAAGAAGACGCGTCGAGAAGTTAAGAGGTAAGCAGGGAGAGAGAGAGTCAGGAGTAAGAAATCCTGGGACAAGGCAGTAGCCGTATGCTTTTTGTACATATGCTTAAGAATATGCTACAGGCTTGAGGAGTCAGGGTCGGTAAGAACCAACGAGAAAAATTTGAGGGATCTATAGAAGAGGTTTGTCCCTGGTTCCCAGAAGAAGGTATTGTAAATTTAGTAACTCGGGAGAGAGTGAGAGAAAAACTTCAAGACCATTATACTGCTCACGGTCCGGCTAGGATTCCAGTCGATACTTTTTTCTTGTGGGCATTACTTAGAGACTGCTTGGACCCCCGTCCTGAGGGAGAGGGGGTAGGTGCTAAGAGAGAAGACAAGTCTAAGGAAAAGGTTGAACTTAGTTCGCCTCCTGAGGAAGGTACACTTCCTCCTCAGTATTCTGTGGCAGTGAAACATACTGCAGGAGAAATCCAAGGGCCAACGCATGAGGATCCTCTTGCGGGACCGAGTCCAGAAGGCCGGCGGGTGAGAGGAGGCTGCCTCTCCAGGGTGACTGGGCTGCTGGCCTTGCAGCTACAGCCGCCAGTCGGGGCAAGAATGAGCCAGGAAGGTTAGAAGGGGAAGTGAAAGGCCTGCAGGCTGTGTGTAAACTGACTATGCAAATTCAAGAAAAAAGAAGGGCCCCTCTATCCGGGGATGAGATTGCCCCTAGGCCGCCAACTCCAGTCATAGCTATGGTACAAAAGCCTCCCACATGGCCCCTTAAGCCAGACCTGGAGGCTCTCTCACCACGACAAAGGTCAATAGAACATGCAAACAGCATAGGAGAGGACACCCAAGGCTTCTCTTTGGCTTTTCCTGTAATGGAGCAGAGAGATGTGCAGGGGAACTTGCAGAGAGTGCACCAGGCTATTCCGTTCAAGCAGTTAAAAGGACTAAAGGTGGCTTGTGCACAGCATGGCCCTACTGCCCCCTTTCCCTTGGCCTTACTGCAGTCAGTGGCTACTGATGCACTCCCACCTAGTGATTGGAAGCAATTGTGTAAGGCACGTCTCTCAGGAGGTGACTATTTGTTGTGGAAATCTGAATACTCAGAGCAATGCCATGCGACAGCAGAAATGAATAGAGCAAGGTATCCCAGCTTCATATGAGATGCTTTCAGGAGAAGGGCAGTATCAGGCAATGAATCAACAATTGAATGATAACCCAGGAGTATATGCTCAGATTGGTTCTGCAGCCTTAAGAGCGTGGAGAAAGCTGCCGGCTGCTAGATGAACCACAGAAGATTTGTCAAAGATTAGGCAAGGACCAGGTGGGCCATTTCAGGGTTTTGTATCAATTGCTCCAGGCAGCTGGAAGATTAATAGGAAACGGAGAGGCAGGGATGATGTGAGTTAAACAATTGGCATATGAAAATGCTAACTCTGCTTGTCAGGCAGCATTGAGACCATTTCGAGAGAAAGGAGACTTATCTGATTATATTCGATCATGTGCAGACATTGGGCCTTCTTATGTGCAAGGGGTTGCCCTCGCTGCTGCTTTACAAGGAAAAAGTGTCAAGGAAATCTTATTCCAACAACAGAAAGGGAAAGGTCGCTCAGGCAAACCCCCAGAAAGCTGTTTTGGATGCGGACAGATTGGGCACCTGGTAAACAATGCCCTCGAGACAGCCACACGGAGGGACTGGAGAGAGACAGCCTGGGCTGTGTCCGCGACGCAGCGGGGCCAGCACTGGGCCACGAGTGCAGATCTACACAAGATGTCCTGGGAAGTCCTCTTCCCCGCTGCAGGGAAACGGGAGGGGGGCAGCCCCAGGCCCCGCAGCAATGTTATGGGGCCCTCCAGGCGCTTGTGCCTCAAGGAGGTATGTCAGGGACCCCTGCCGCGCCACCCCAGGCAGCGCAGGGTTGGACCTCGGTCCCTCCACCTACACAGTATCAACCCCTGAAATGGGAGTTCAAGCATTGCATACCGGGGTTTACGGGCCCTCCCCCTGCTACTATAGGATTTATTTTGGGGTGTAGTAGTGCTACCTTGAAGGGAATTCATGTAGCCCCGGGAGTAATTGATGAGGATTATACGTGAGAAATTAAGATAATGATTCACTCTCCTTCGTCAGTATCAGTCATTCGGGACTCCCAGGGGTGGCACAGTCGATATTGTTACCTTGTGTTAAGCAAGAGCAGGAAAGCAAAGGGAAGACTACAGGGAATGAGGGATCTGGGTCATCAGATGCATATTGGATACAGGAAATCAAAGAACAGCGACCAGAATTACACTCATGGGTTAATGGGCAAAAATTCAAAGGAATTCTTGATACCGGAGCTGATGTCTCGGTAATCACGAAAGCTCATTGGCCCGAGAGCTGGCCTAAGCGAGAGACTATGACTCAGCTTCAGGGAGTTGGACAAACTCGATCCCCTTTGCCAAGCAGTGACCTACTGCACTGGAGAGATGGTGAAGGGCATGCAGGTGATTCCAGCCTTATGCAATTCCAGGCCTGCCAGCTAACTCGTGGGAAGGGACATTGTGAGTAAGTTGGGGGTTTATACTATAGTCCCAATGAGGTAGTTAGCCAACAAATGTTTGATCAGGAAATGTTGCCCACTCAAGGGTTGGGAAAGGATGGTCAAGGGTTACAACAGCCTATTGTCACTGAGCAGCGTATGTCACGAGCTGGGCTGGGGTATTTTTAGGGCGGGGGATCATTGCTCCTTCTGTACCCCATGCTGATGCCATTACTTGGAAAAGGATGAGCCAGTGTGGGTAGACCAATGGCCCCTGTCAGCCGAGAAGATACTGGCCGCTGAACAGCTGGTGCAGGAGCAACTAGACCGCGGCCATATTGCACCTTCTAACTCCCCATGGAACTCTCCTATTTTGTAATAAAAAAGAAATCAGGGAAATGTAGACTCTTGCAAGACTTGAGAAAAGTTAATGAAACTATGGAATTGATGGGAGTTTTGCAACCTGGACTCCCTCTTCCAGCTGCCATACCAGTAGACACCTATACGATTACAATAGACTTGGAAGACTGTCTATACTATACCTTTAGATGCCAGTGATACCAAGAGATTTGCTTTTAGTGTTCCCTCTACCAATTTCAAGGAAACTGTGAAAAGATTCGAGTGGCTCGTCCTGCCTCAAGGCAGGCGAACAGTGCAACTCTCTGCCAAAGCTTGTTGCTCAGCCAGTTTCCCACGTTCGGAAAACATTTTCCGAGGTGTATATCATTCACTACATGGATGACATTTTGCTCGTGCATAAATATGAAGGAATGTTGTTACCAGCTTATGGCCAGCTACAGTTGGCACTTAAGGAGTAGGCTTGGCCATTGCTCCAGAGAAGGTACAGCGAGCGCCGCCTCTCTCGTACTTGGGACACCTGCTGCACCAGCAGCCATTACCCCTCAGAAAGTACAGCTAGGAAAAGATCACCTACATACTCTAAATGACTTTCAGAAGTTATTGGGGGTATTAATTGGCTCAGACCTTCTTTGGGAATCTCTACGGGACAGTTAAAACCTCTCTTTGATGTATTAAAAGGAGATTCCTCCCCTCTTTCTAAAAGGGAAATTACCGCAGAGGGGCACCAGGCTCTGGAGTTAGTTGAATCTGCCATAAGCAGTCAGCAAATAAAGTACTTCAACTCCAAACTACCGTGGGCTGCTTATGCGCTTGCACAGCTCCCACTCCCACGGCTGTTCTCTGGCAAGAAGGGCTTTTGCTTCGGATTCATCTTCCAGTGTCTCCTAATAGAATATTAACTCCTTACTATGATGCAATAGCTCAAGTGATACAGCTAATAAGATAAGAGTCCCGAAAATATTTCGGGCAAGAACCTCCATTAATATGAGAGCCGTATACCCGTATGCAGGTTAATTGGCTCTTTCAAAATTCAGACTCATGGATGAGAGCCTTTGCACACTATAGAGGTCAGGTAGATAATCATTATCCTGGACATAAATTGCTGCAGTTCGCACAGAGGCATTCACTGATATTTCCTAAAATTGTTGGTGCTCACCCTTTGCCTGAGGGGTTGTTAATTTTCACCAACGGCTCCTCCAATGGACGAGCCGCCTATTCAATTGAAAGCCAAGTACATTCAGTTAGCACACCCCCAGCCTCAGCTCAAACTGTTGAAGCAGTTCACTTGGTTTTGAATAAAGTCACAGGGCAAAAATTTAATTTATATTCAGTCATTATGTTGTGAACACCTTACAAATTTTGGAAACTGTTGCCTCTATAGAAACTGTTAATAATGAAATTCAAGCTTTATTCCAATCTATTCAGCAAAAATTAAGAAACCGCAGTCAACCTTGTTATGCTGGTCATCTACGAGCTCATACAGGACTCCCAGGCCACTGGCAGAAGGTAATGTAGTAGTAGATTCAGCGACTAGGCAAGTCTTCCTCACTCGGGAACGCTGGCTCAGCAATCTCATGCCATACATCATCAAAACAGCTCTGGCCTCTGTCTGCAATTTAAAATCAGCTGGGAGGCTGCCAGACAAATAGTTAAACATTGTGCAACCTGCCCTCTAACTCAACCTGCTCCTCCATTAGGAGTAAACCCAAGAGGCCTTATTCCGAATCAAATATGGCAAATGGATGTTACCCACGTTCCTGAATTTGGAAAACAAAAGTATATACATGTAATTATTGATACTTTTTCAGGGTTTATAGTTGCCACTCCACAGACAGGAGAGGCAACTAAACATGTAATTGCCCACTGCCTTAAATGCTTTTCAATTCTAGGAATACCTAAAGTCATTAAGACTGACAACGGCTTGGGATACACTAGTCAGACATTTCAAAAATTCCGTGCCAAATTTACTATTCAACATAAGACTGGAATTCCTTATAATCCTCAAGGACAAGGAATTGTAGAGAGAGCTCATGGAACCCTTAAGGTTCAAATTGAAAAAATAAAAAAGGGGGAGTTATACCCTAGGTCACCATCGAATATTATCAATCATGCTCTCTTTATTATTAATTTTTAAAATTTGGATCGGTATGGTCAGTCCACTGCAGACCGGCCCTGGCACCCTCAGACACAGGAAACATATGCCCAGGTCCGATGGAAGGACCCTCTCACCAATGCACGGCAGGGGCCAGATCCCGTATTAATTGGGGGGCGAGGGCATGTTTGTGTTTTTCCACAGGATGCCGAGGTGGCCACCAGAGAGGCTTGTCAGGTCCGCCGGGATACCTGGAAAAATGGCTGAGGCAGTTGAGGCTGAGTGAGGATGGGGTGCAGCCACAGGCCTTCAGCACCAGAAGTGTCACACGCCTGCCTGGGGACAGACAAAGAAGCTGGCCCCTGAAGCGAAGCTCTGGTGGAGGCCTCAGCAGCCTCTGACTCTGACGAACTTACTCCTGGCCGTGGTATATAAAGTCTCAGGAACTACTAAAGCAATTTGGGACTAGTCACAGGACGATCAAACCTCCTGGACCTGAGGTTTAGCTCAAGGGGCATGGAAAATTACCTCTGGACGATGGCAGGACGGACTTTGGCGACTTGCTGCCTCCATGGGAGATTCTCTGGGTCAGAGACACCTGATGGCGAAATTCGAAAGGGGCGTGGTTCCGGAATCCTGCAGGCACCTCAGCACCTGAAAATATAACGGCTTGTGTACCTGAACCTTGGGTTTTTGTGATTGGGAAAACTAACATTACTATTGACGGGGCACGATATAATGTAACTTGTTTGAATTGCAACCTAACCAACTGTATAAATAATGTCCCTAGAGGGACCCAAGTTCTGGTGGCACATCAACCTTCATTCATAATGCTACCAGTAAATATTTCAGAACCATGGTATTCTGAAAAAGGACTTCAGGTTTTAGAAGAAATAAAAAGGGGGTTCAGCCCTGGCCGGTTTAACTCAGCGGTTAGAGTGTCGGCCTGCGGTCCAGAGAGACCCGGGTTCAGTTCCCGCTAGGAGCATGTACTTCGGTTGCAGTTTGTCCCCAGCTCTAGTTGGGTCATGCTGGTGGCAGCCACTAGATGTGTCCCTTTCACGTCGATGTTTCTCTCTCCCTCCCTCCCGCTCTATCTGAATAAAAAATGAAAAATAAAAGGGGGGAGGGTTCAGTAGACCCCGCCACTTTATTGGGCTACTAATTGCGGGTACAGCGGCCCTAGTCACCATTGTTGCCACGGCAGCTACGGCAGCGATGGCCTTAAGTCAGTCCATCCAGACGGGACATAATGAGCTGTCCAAAAATGTTACAACTGCTTTAGGTGCTCAAGAGGATATAGATAAGAAATTAGCCGAAAAAATAAATGCTCTGTTTGATGTGATACAATATATAGGACAGGAGTTAGAAGCTGTGAAAATTAGAATGCAGCTACAATGTCATGCAAAGTATCATTGGATTTGTATTTTACCTAAACAATACATGATAGTCAGATTGCCTGGGAAAAGATACAATCTCATTTGCAAGGTATATGGCATAATGCTAATGAATCAATGGATATACTCCAGCTTCACCAAGAAATACAGGCAATGGCTGAAGCTGAGCCATTAAAATTTGATGCTGCTAAAGCAGCTGAATCATTTTTGAATCAATTTCTAGCCCAAGTGCCGTCCACTGCAAGCTTACAACATATTTTGATAGGGTTGCTCTTTTTGGCTGGAATTGTGCTTGTAATACTTTGTGTCTTTCCTTCTTTAGCACATCAAATTGTGAAAATGCTTGTAGAATTAGGAGCAAATTTGCATAAAATGAAATTCGTGTGACAAAGTCCGAGAGCAAGGTTTACAAAGTAACTTGCGAAAGGCTCTGCAGCTCTCTCTTACCTTTTCAGGGAGTTTGGTTATCTAGGGGTTAAAGCAAATATTATAGCGCCTGCAAGAGGAAGCTGGAGAAAAGAGAAGCTAGCCCAAGGTTAGTAGTTGAAATTAAGCAGGAATGTAAAGCAAAGATAACTTGGCTGGGAAAATAGGGAGCCAGGATTTGTAATCAGGACATGAGAAAAAATTCCAAGAATTTAAACAATATATGCTTTTGCAGCTTATGAAATCTTATGCTATAAATGTAGGCTTAAAAATAAACTCGAGGCGACAGTCTCTCTGTCAGCCCTCCCGATCCCATCCTTTGTTGTCTGTCTTTTCTCAGTCCTCACTCCCCCTTCGGGACCATTTGACATTGTGGGCAGGCTCCAAAATTCACCTGGGCCCATGTTGTGAAACTTTTCCTGCACAAAGTCAAGAACCCACACGCTACCAGCTGGCCCCAGGCAGACCCGCTCAGGGCAGGTCCCCTTTCCCGTCACAGGCAAACTCAGATTGACACCATCTCTGTGGCTGTCTATCTCTGTGACGTTTCCTTCTCTGTAAAATGAAGGCAATCATACCTTCCCCCAAGGGTTGTCACCAGATTGGATATAATGATGTGAAATGTGTTATGTAAATATGGTTGAGGAAGTTTATCTCATTGACTAATTGAGTTTTCTAACGTTTATCAACATGAATCATGTGTATTATGGTTTCTTGCCTCCTCCCACCTGTAGTCAGTGAAGTACAGTGTCACCAGAACTCCTGGGGAAACCGGTGCTGGGGGGGCGGGGGATTAGGACTTTAGGGGAGACCAGCCTGCAGGTGAAGTAAGGCAAAGAAAGGAGGGCAGAGGAGGGAACCCATGAGCAATCGCCCATCGGACCTGGGCATCTGCACAGGGCGAGTCTGGAGGTCGACACCTGCAGCTGGGGCTGGACTTTGCACGCTGTGGGCGAGCCAGGTGTGCATGGCTCCCACCTGCTCAGTTGAGCAGGAAGCAGCGTCTCCTCCCCAATTCTCCCCACCCCACTGTGATCAAGGGTGGGGTTCCAGGAAACCCTATCTCCCTATGACCTCATGACATGCTATGTTCCCACTCCAGGGACTGGAGGGGCCAGAAGGTGTGGAGAACAGGGTGGCCAGGCCCCTGCTGGGAATGCTGGGTAATCCTGAGATGCCTTGGAGTTTGGACCTGCTTTGCTGATGGGTGGTGGCCAGGGCTCCTGGAAGTACAAGAGGTGGAACCAGGTGGCTTCCCTGCTAGACATTCTTTTCCTCTGTGACTCATGCAAAGTGGCTCAATTTCATTGAAAGGGACTTTGTGTGGCCTGAGGCAGAGGCCTGCGTGGATGGGCTGGGGACCGCACCGGAATGCCCTCAACCTCCTCCCGCGCGGAGGCCGCCTGTCCTGCCTGCCAGAGGCCACTGAAGGACGCAGTGACCCCCAGCTGTGGACACACCTTCTGCCCACGGTGCTTACCCCCATCTTACTACATGGGGGCACAGCACTCTGGCCGGGTCCTGCTCTGTCCCCTCTGCAAGGAGGAAGAGAAGACAGAGACCTTTGTGGCCCCTGTGCCACTGGGCCCTCTGGGGGAGACTTACTGCGCGGAGCATGGGGAGAAGATCTACTTCTTCTGTGAGAATGACACCGAGTTCCTCTGTGTGCTGTGCAGGGAAGGCCCGGCCCACCAGGCCCACGCGGTGGGCTTCCTGGACAGCGCCATCCAGCCCTACCGGGTAAGGAGCTTGACGGTGGCCTGGGCCTGTCTAGGGCAGGGCGGTGAGTGTCACAGCGGAAGGAATGGGGAACTGGGCGAGGGCATGGCCCACATCAGAGGGTCCCAAGGCTGTTGGACATTGGAGGATTCCCAGGCTGCAGGGCCTGGCCTCACTGGGTGTGTGGTCAGTCACAGTGGGCCCCATGGTAATGGAGCACAAAGAATTGTAGCCATGGCTTCATCTCTGTGGAAGGAAAAAGATCCTCAGTGCAGGGCAGGACCTCCTGCAGGTTAGAGGCTGGGGGAGCCTGGCTGGGAATGCGAGTGATCCCCAAGGCCCTGACCGGGGGCTCAGAGGGGCGAGGGCCCGGCCAACACTGCTCTTCTATTTGAGGGAGGCCGGCAGGGCAGCAGCGCGTCTGGTCTGGGGACACTGCCCATTCCTGCCTGCCTCTCGGGCCTCTCAGCACCGTCACCAGGTCTAGAAGCAGTTTCCTCAGAAGCACCTCTCGGGTCTCTCACTGCATTATCCCCACAACCACCAAATTCAAGCTCTCACCACCCGTCACCAGACCTGGTGTGGTCTCCAATGCTTTCCCTGTCTTCACGGTCCTCTTTTCAACCACTCTCCAAATCTGTCGTCAGATTTCCTAAAACACAAAGCCAGTTGTGCCGCCCCTCCTCACAATTCCTCCATGGATCCCCAGTGCTGTTCCCAAGGCCCGTGTCCGCAGCAAGCGTCCCGGGCGTTCGCAGCTGGGCCTGCTCCTGCCCACGTCTTCCATGGCTGCCCTTCCCAAGGCCCGGTGTGGCCAGCAGACTGATCGGTATGCACCTGCTGTCTTCTGAATTGTTTTCCTCTTTCTTGCTTCTAATACTTTTCACATGTAGTTTCTTTCTCCTAGAATGCTCTCCTCTCTCTAGCCTCACTTTTTTTTTTTTTTTTACAATTTTCACACATTTTTAATTACGTTTTTATTGATTTTTTTTTTTTAGGGAGAGAAAGAAACATAGAAACATCCACATGAGAGAGAAACATGGATCGGCTGCCTCCTGCACGCCCCCTACTGGGGATCGGGCCCACAGCCCAGGCCTGTGCCCTGACCGAGAATCCAACAGGGACCTCTCAGTCCATGGGACGACGCTCCATCCACGGAGCCACACTGGCCAGGCAATTTTCACAATTTTTAAGTGTACAATTTAGGGGCATTAAGCTCTCTCCTTCCCTTCTCTTATCCTACTGGAAATGTATCTTCTGAGGCCCACTGTGAATGCTGTTTGCTTTCTAAAGCCCTGCCCGCGTCCCTGCAGGCAGAATGTCCCCTCCTCTGTGTCTTCATCTCAATTGTGTGCTCACTGCAACTGTTGCATTTGCCTGCCTGTATTTTAACCCTGTAACTGACCCCTTCCCTGGATGGTGATCTCTGCAGGGACAAGGACTGGCCTCTTCATCTTCTCGGCACTCCGTGGTGTACCAAGAACAGGGTGGACTCATAATAGCTGTGAGTTGAATTACAAATTAAGCCACCTCCTTCTGCCCATTTTTCTCCCCAAGGACCGTCTCCGAAGCCGGCTGGAAGCTCTGCGCGGGGAGAGAGATGCGATGGAGGACGTGAAGGGTCGGGCAGACCAGAAGCTCCACGTGCTGCTGGTAAAGAGCCACTGGCTCCTTGGGGTTTCCCAGCAGGCTCTGTGGACGCTCGTTGTCTGCTGTCTGGCCGAAAAGAACTGGGAAGCTGTTCCCATCACCCCTGCCTCCGCACAAGGGCATTTTGGGGTTAAAAGTGTGGAACCCCAGAACATCAGAGCTGGAAGTGGCTTTGACATCTAATCCAAGGTCCATCTCACCAATTAGAGCTTCACAATCAGAAAACTGAAGTCCAGAAAAGTGATGACCAACCCTGAGGCCGAATGGCAAAGCCTGCGTTTAAGATGGAATAGCGAGCACCCGGGTGTCTCGACCCTAGACCTTGCTCTTCCCACGGCAGTCTGCCTGCCTGAGCACAGTGCTTCCCAACGAGGCGCTGAGGGCGGGAGGTGTGCCTCCTGGCCCTGACCACCGGCTCGCCTGAGGACAGGGCAGTGATGTGGCTGTGTCGGGCTTCTTCCCCGTCTCTCCTTGTGCTACGAACTTATCCAGGAGGAAATCTGCAGTGTGAGATTTCTGGTACCCCTACTATGGAGAAAGAGTTCGGGGACAGAAAGGTCTCTCCAGAACCCCTCAACTCCCAGCAAAGTATTCCCTGTAGATGGTGACCTCAGTGGCTAAGATCAGTGCCTTATACTCTTCCCATAAGTTGTGTTGATTCTAGTTACAGCTTCCTCTCACTTCAATTGTTCCCTAAAAAATGACTATATGCATCTCCACCTGCCCCTAGGGAACATATGGTTGGGTGAGAATGGTATCAGAGATGTGGAAGGATTTTTGAAAAGTTGAACACAGCTCTGAGGGCATAATGCAGCATTATTTTTAATTTTTTTTTCTTTATTGATTTTTTTTTCAAGAGAGAGAGATAGAAACATCAGTGAGAGAGAACATCGAATGACTGCCTCCTGCATGCCCCGCACTAGGAATCTGGCCCACAATCTGGGCATGTGCCCTGACCGGGAATTGAACCGGTAACTTGGTGCAGGGTCGACACTCAATCACTGACCCACACCAGCCGGGCTTTGGCATTATTTTTAGACTCTCTAGGTAAAACAAGAGCATAGCCCTCATTGTTGGTAAGTTTGTCCTGAAACCTACCTACTTCTACCTAGTGGTTATTGGGAGAATGCATCTGGAACTAGTTACGCTCTATTCCTCTTAATCAACAGTAAGCGCACAGATGATGGGCCTGGAGGCCAGCTCTGCGAGCTTCACCTGACCGCTCTGTCTCTACCCCTTTGCAGAGCCAGATCGAAAGCAGGAAGCAGCAGGTGGAAGCAGCTTTTGAGAGGCTGCAGCAGGGGCTGAGGGAGCAGCAGTGTTTCCTGCTGGCCAGGCTGAGTGAGCTGCAGCAGCAAGTCTGGGAGGAGAGGGACAAGTACATCTCCACGGTCACTGAGGAGGTCGCCCGGCTTGGAACCCAGGTCAAGGAGCTGGAGGAGAAATGTCAGTGGCCAGCAAATGAGCTTCTACAAGTGAGGGACACCCACCACTTCATGGAATAGGAGAGGGTCCACAGGAGGGGACACTGTGCTGAGGACCGGAAGGTGCTGGAGAGAGGCAGGGAAGGGAAGTGGAGATTATTTCTAACGGGAGGAACTGGTGGTTATCAGGTTCCCTTCTCCCAGAGGGGTTACCGAGATGCAGACCCCAAAAGGGTGGCCGCCTTGCCCATGCACTGTGCTCATGTCAAGGGCTTTGGAGTCAGAGGTTCATAGGTTTGAGTGTCGGTCCCTCCACCCTGGCAAGTCTTGTAAACTCTATAAACATGGAGATAACACTAGCACCTCCCTCATAGGGTTGCTGCAAAGATAAGAAATAATCCATGCAAAATGCTTAGCATGGTCCCAGGCTCACAGAAAAATCTCAGTAAATGGTGCCTGTTGTGATTATCCTTCTATTTTCCTGTTTCACACCAGGTCTGGCTGGTAACTCACAAGGCCAGGTTCCTGCTCTCCACCATCCCTTGAATGCTGGAAGCAAGACACACCCCCAGGATAAGGCTCAGACAGAGAAACCAGTTCAGTTAGCAGGGAGGCATGATGAGCAAGGGCAGTCTCGTGAGTGGGTAATTAAACAGATGCTCCAAGGAGGACAGTTTGGAGCCAGTGTGCTAAGAAAGGTTGTGCAGAATCTCTGATGGGAAGGATGTGTGAACACTGAGTGCATGTTCTTCTTCTTTCCTAGGACGTCAGAGTCAGCCAGAGCAGGTAGGCCCACTCCCTGCCTCACTTGGGTGAACTTGGAGACTGAAGGGGAGGGGCACACAAGCAAAGCCATCAGGGGCTGCGTCTCATTCACTCACACACAGACAGCAAGACTTGAAGGTGTGCATTTGAAAAATTTCTTTTTTAAACTGACTTGTATTGGAGACACATTATTTCCCCTAGAAGTGAAGTTAAAAATAATAATCATATTATTTTGTTTTGTTTTACATCTTTATTGTTAAGGGTATTACAGATGTCTCCCCCATTTTCTCCTCCATTGCCCCCCTCCTCCCGGTTCCCATCCCTTCCCACCCTACAGTCTATGTCTGTGGCAATTCACATATGCATGTAAGTTCAATAATCATATTTTAAGACTGATCTGGGAACTTCTATTTAATTCCTGAAATTCTTAGTACTTGAGTCAGTATTTAACACTATTTAAAATGTAATCCTAAGGGGAAATATTTTGTGTAGAATATGATACGCACACAACCTAGGAAGACCAGCCTGTTCTTTCTGTCATTTTTCCCATTCACCATCCCTGTGTCTTCAGAATTTCAAGGTTCCTCTCAAAGGATAGGCGCCGGGAGCTGAGCAGCCTTGTAAACATGCGCTGTGTTCCCTTCCTCTTGGCTCTGAGCACGAGCAGTCTGCCTGGGGGAGCAGAGACACGATGACCAGGGAACTTTTCATGTGCTGTGTCCCAAGCGTCTATGAATCAGGAAGTTTCTCTAAACATATTTTTCAAAGAGTGTTAGAGATTTAGATTGAGGAGGGCCTCCAAGGTCTTCCAGTCTGATGAAGAAGCTGAGACCCAGGTTCTCACTCGCTCAAGGTCACACAGCAAGCGATGAGCAAGGGCTGAGCTAAAATCAGAATCGACGAGGCTTTTTAACTGTAACGTATGTTTTTCCTCCACCTCCTCCCCAATCCCTTTCTCCTTGTAATGAGCAGCATACAAATTAGAAATACTTTAAGGCTGGTTTTCAAACAGTACCAACCTCTAAGTGCTAATAGGGGTAATGATCTCTCTTGTTTCTGTCCCTACAGGCCCAAACACTCTCTTAAAAGTTCTACCTATAATTCTTGAGTGGATACCATTAGGCCTTCCAGGTCTAACTGAAATGCCTCTTGCTTTAGTAGCTATACATTTCTAGCAAAGACAAAGAGAAGATACTATAGACACGAACATTCTTTCGTCTGATTTCAGCCTCACCTGGTGTATACCATCCAAACATTTGTTTTGAAAATTGGTCCAATTTTCTTCAGGTGTGAGATAAAGACTTTTGTGAGTCCAGAGGCCATTTCTCCTGAACTTGTCAAGAAGATCCGAGATCTGCACAGGAAAATTCTCACCCTCCCAGAGCTGATGAGTACCTTCTCAGGTGGGGGAGGGGCAACGGCGTCCCTCATTCCCAGTAGATGCCCTTGTGTCTTCCATCCTTCTCCATGTTTCCTCACCTCAAACCCTGGTTCCAGAGGTCCTCCCTCCCTTAAACCTTCCCTTGGTGACTCCACTTTACGCAGGGGAACCATTCCCTAGAGATCTCCTGTCCCCGAGTCTAGGAAAGTGAGGCCCGATTCTCTTTCATTAGACCATCCCTGTCCTCACATGACTCCCAGGACACACTGCCTTTGGAGTGCCTATGGGAAATAAGTCACAGACCTTTTTGTTTCTGCTTCCCTCAGAAAACTTGGTGTGCCACCTGGAAACAGATTCAGGTAAACAGCCGGGGGCTTCGGGAGCGGTTTCTCATTCATCCACTCAGCCAAGGCAGCAAACAGGAGCTCGGGAGCCTGCCGCCCCGGCTGTTCCAGATCTTGCTCCTTGGTTAACCACTTTGTCCCAGTTTCTTCATCTATAAAATGGAAAGTATAGTAATACCCTCCCCCCAAGTAGCTGTGAGGTAAATTAATTATGCAAAAAGCTTAGTATATTGCCCTGGCCAGTTTGGCTCAGCGGTTGGAGCATCGGCCTGCAGACCAGAGAGTCCTGGGTTCAGTCCCCGCTAGGGGAACGTACCAAAAAAAAAAAAAGCTTAGTATAGTGCCTGACATATAGTAAGTGCTCAATTAACGTTAGTTACTTCTATAGATATTATTTATTCAAAAGTATTTATCAAGCCTGTTTTTTTGCCCAGCATTGTGCTGACTTGAGGAAATATTGTAAAAATGTTTGGTACTTAATTTAGAAACTACTTACACAAGCATCACCTCCTTCTCCTTCTCAAGCTTAATGTGCAGAAAACTCAGCTGGGCATCTTTTGAAAACACAGATTCTGGCTCAGATGGTCGGTGATGGGGCTCAAGATTCTGCATTTCCACCAAGCCCCAGGCAAAGGGGAGGCTTTTGGTCCATGGCTGCACATTGAGTAGCAAAACCTTGAGCATCAGGGATGTCCTCATGGACCGAAAGGGGAAACTGAGGTTCAGAGAAGCCGGCCAACGGCAGGCTGCACAGGCGGGTGCTCTTTCTGCTCCTGGGCATTTTCGGTGCCTGCAGCTCTGTGCATGTCGCGCTCTGCTCCCTCTAGGGATCGTCACTCTGGACCCTCAGACCGCCAGCCGGAGCCTGGTGTTCGCAGCGGACAGGAAGTCAGTGAGGTGCACCCGGCACAAGCAGAGCCTGCCCAACCCCCCCCCCCCCCCCCCGCGCTCCCAGAGCCTCTCGGCTTCTCCTCAGGGCGCCACCGCGGGCAGGTGGCAGTGCAGCTGGGGGGCTGCACTGAGCGGGGGGGTGGCGATGGAGGCGGTGAAAAGGAGTGGGGAGCAGGGCCTGGGCAGTGCCCAGGGCGTCTGGGCCGTGGTCATCTCGCACCGTAAGTGCTGAGCCGGTACCTGCCTGGGCACCGACCTGCCGCTGGGCGACGTCCCGCGCAGCATGTCCTGTCGCCCTGGACCTCGAGGCAGGGCGGGTGAGCCTGCTCAACGCCGACACCCAGGCGCCCATCTTCACTTTCACCGCCTCCTTCTCTGGCAGAGTCTTTCTTTCCTTTGCTGTCTGGACAAAGGGTTCCTGCCTTACTTCGAAAGGCTGAGCTGGGGCGTCCACAGGGCCGTGCAGCTGAGAAAGCCGCCCGGACCCAGCTGCCCACCCCCCTGCCCTGGGCCGCTCGGTGGGCGCGGCAGAAGGGTGGGCGCGGGCAGAAGGGCGGGCGCGGCAGAAGGGCGGGCGCGGGCAGAAGGGCGGGCGCGGGCAGAAGGGAGGGCGCGGCAGAAGGGAGGGCGCGGGCAGAAGGGCGGGCGCGGCAGGGCAGAAGGGAGGGCGCAGCAGAAGGGAGGGCGCGGGCAGAAGGGAGGGCGCGGCAGAAGGGCGGGCGCGGGCAGAAGGGCGGGCGCGGCAGAAGAGGGCGCGGCAGAAGGGCGGGCGCGGCAGAAGAGGGCGCGGCAGAAGGGCGGGCGCGGCAGAAGAGGGCGCGGCAGAAGAGGGCGCGGCAGAAGGGCGGGCGCGGCAGAAGGGCGGGCGCGGCAGAAGGGAGGGCAAGGCGGAAGGGAGGGCGCGGGCAGAAGGGAGGGCGCGGCAGAAGGGAGGGCGCGGCAGAAGGGAGGGCGCGGGCAGAAGGGAGGGCGCGGCAGAAGGGCGGGCGCGGCAGGGCAGAAGGGCGGGCGCGGGCAGAAGGGCGGGCGCGGCAGAAGGGCGGGCGCGGCAGAAGGGCGGGCGCGGGCAGAAGGGCGGGCGCGGCAGGGCAGAAGGGAGGGCGCGGGCAGAAGGGCGGACGCGGCAGAAGGGCGGGCGCGGCAGAAGGGAGGGCGCGGCGAAAGGGAGGGCGCGGGCAGAAGGGAGGGCGCGGCGGAAGGGAGGGCGCGGGCAGAATAGGGCGCGGGCAGAAGGGAGGGCGCGGCAGAAGGGAGGGCGCGGCAGAAGGGAGGGCGCGGGCAGAAGGGAGGGCGCGGCAGAAGGGCGGGCGCGGCAGGGCAGAAGGGCGGGCGCGGGCAGAAGGGCGGGCGCGGGCAGAAGGGAGGGCGCGGGCAGAAGGGAGGGCGCGGCAGAAGGGCGGGCGCGGGCAGAAGGGCGGGCGCGGGCAGAAGGGCGGGCGCGGCAGAAGGGAGGGCGCGGGCAGAAGGGAGGGCGCGGCAGAAGGGAGGGCGCGGGCAGAAGGGCGGGCGCGGGCAGAAGGGCGGGCGCGGCAGAAGGGCGGGCGCGGGCAGAAGGGAGGGCGCGGGAAGAAGAGGGCGCGGCAGAAGGGCGGGCGCGGCAGAAGGGCGGGCACGGGCAGAAGGGCGGGCGCGGGCAGAAGGGAGGGCGCGGCAGAAGGGAGGGCGCGGGCAGAATAGGGCGCGGGCAGAAGGGAGGGCGCGGCAGAAGGGCGGGCGCGGCAGGGCAGAAGGGCGGGCGCGGGCAGAAGGGTGGGTGGGGGCAGAAGGGAGGGCGCGGCAGAAGGGCGGGCGCGGGCAGAAGAGGGCGCGGCAGAAGGGCGGGCGCGGCAGGGCAGAAGGGTGGGTGGGGGCAGAAGGGAGGGCGCGGGCAGAAGGGCGGGCGCGGCAGAAGGGAGGGCGCGGGCAGAAGGGAGGGCACGGCAGAAGGGCGGGCGCGGGCAGAAGAGGGCGCGGCAGAAGGGCGGGCGCGGGCAGAAGGGCGGGCGCGGCAGAAGGGCGGGCGCGGGCAGAAGGGCGGGCGCGGGCAGAAGGGCGGGCGCGGGCAGAAGGGCGGGCGCGGGCAGAAGGGCGGGCGCGGGCAGAAGGGAGGGCGCGGCAGAAGGGAGGGCGCGGGCAGAAGGGCGGGCGCGGCAGGGCAGAAGGGAGGGCGCAGCAGAAGGGAGGGCGCGGGCAGAAGGGCGGGCGCGGGCAGAAGGGCGGGCGCGGCAGAAGAGGGCGCGGCAGAAGGGCGGGTGCGGGCAGAAGGGCGGGCGCGGGAAGAAGAGGGCGCGGCAGAAGGGCGGGCGCGGGCAGAAGGGAGGGCGCGGGCAGAAGGGAGGGCGCGGCAGAAGGGAGGGCGCGGGCAGAAGGGCGGGCGCGGGCAGAAGGGAGGGCGCGGCAGAAGGGCGGGCGCGGGCAGAAGGGAGGGCGCGGGCAGAAGGGAGGGCGCGGGCAGAAGGGCGGGCGCGGCAGAAGGGAGGGCGCGGGAAGAAGAGGGCGCGGCAGAAGGGCGGGCACGGGCAGAAGGGCGGGCGCGGCAGAAGGGCGGGTGCGGCAGAAGGGCGGGCGCGGCGGAAGGGAGGGCGCGGGCAGAATAGGGCGCGGGCAGAAGGGAGGGCGCGGGCAGAAGGGCGGGCGCGGCAGAAGGGCGGGTGCGGCAGAAGGGCGGGCGCGGCGGAAGGGAGGGCGCGGGCAGAATAGGGCGCGGGCAGAAGGGAGGGCGCGGCAGAAGGGAGGGCGCGGCAGAAGGGCGGGCGCGGCAGGGCAGAAGGGCGGGCGCGGGCAGAAGGGCGGGCGCGGGCAGAAGGGCGGGCGCGGCGGAAGGGAGGGCGCGGGCAGAATAGGGCGCGGGCAGAAGGGAGGGCGCGGCAGAAGGGCGGGCGCGGCAGGGCAGAAGGGCGGGCGCGGGCGAAGGGCGGGCGCGGCAGAAGGGAGGGCGCAGGCAGAAGGGAGGGCGCGGCAGAAGGGAGGGCGCGGGCAGAAGGGCGGGCGCGGCAGGGCAGAAGGGAGGGCGCAGCAGAAGGGAGGGCGCGGGCAGAAGGGCGGGCGCGGCAGGGCAGAAGGGAGGGCGCGGGCAGAAGGGAGGGCGCGGGCAGAAGGGCGGGCGCGGGCAGAAGGGCGGGCGCGGGCAGAAGGGCGGGCGCGGCAGAAGGGCGGGCGCGGGCAGAAGGGCGGGCGCGGCAGGGCAGAAGGGAGGGCGCGGCAGAAGGGCGGGCGCGGCAGAAGCACAGCCCACGCTTTTCCTTCACCCTGCGTCCTTCCGCGCCGGCCCTCCCACTGAGCTCGGGCCTGGGCAGGCTAGGCTGTTTAGGGAAAAATAAAAACCTAAAATAACACTGTTTTAAACTTCAAAATAATCATCAAGGGAAAAAACAGAAGCTTTTTGGGCTCGAACTAATTTACACAGTTTTTCATGTTGACGTACACGGGCGGATGCCTCTGCCTTCGCAGGGCATCAGGCCTCTTCAGCCAGCCCCAGTTCCACTTCCTCTCTGACACCCTTCGGTCACTTTTCTTTCCTGTAGGGAATGTCCTAACAAGGGAGCGACCCAGCCAGACACCTGCATTTCACGTGTTTGATCGACGCCGATGGGACTGAAGGGAAGGCTGAACCCAGTGGAACCTCTATGACCACGACTCAGTCCTGTCCCTTGTTTTACCCAGGATGTCTGATGGCAGGGGAACCGGACCCCACTGCTCAATAAAAGGAGTCTATGTTCAGGTCTGACTACCCTTTCAAATATTTATTATTATTACCATTATTATCATTGGACACAGAAACAGGCCACACATTAAAATAACTTTACAAAGCAAGGTATGGTCCTGGCCGGTTTGGCTCAGCGGTTAGAGCGTCAGCCCGCGGTCTGGAAGTCCCGGGTTTGGTTCCCGCTGAGGGCACATACCTCGGTTGCAGTTTGTGCCCCCCCCCCCCAGGTTGGGATTGTATGGGTGGCAACCACTGGATGTGTCTCTCTCACATAGATGTTTCTCTCGCTCTCCCTCCCTCTCTCCCTCTCGTTCTGTGAATGCAAAAAGTGTCCTCAGGTGAGGACAGGAAAAAAAAAAAAAAAAAAAGCAAGGTACGAACCACCATAAAGATGATTGCCACCCCCTTTCTGATTCTAGCTCTCCCTCAGGTTTAACACACATTCCCACCCTTCCCAGCCCAATCCCCAGTCCAGGTGCAAGGGGATGTACAAGCTGAGTTTATCATGTGAGCCCTGCTCCTAAAGTGTGAGGTCAGATGTTTTAAAGACACTTAGCCCTTGTACCATATGTGAATTTCATCACTGTAATAGGAATCATTAGGGTAAGTGCCCTAACTGGGCAAACAGAGATCCTTGAATAAAATAAGCCAGAGGATCTGGGTTTTGTTTGGTCCTATCTGTGTCTAATCCAGAAAAAAAAATGAAGCTGTTTGGTAGTCCAACCTAGTAGTAATATTAAAAAGCATATGCTTATAGTTTTCAAAAAAAAGACTCAAATATTACAGAGCATAGATGAGAAGTCCCTCCCTTCACTCAGCATGTGCCTCCCCCCCACCCCGCACAGGACGACTGGGTCCAACTTCTGTATCCTGACAGTTCTGTATACAAGTGTCATTGGCTTTTTTTTTTTTTTACACGAATGATTATTCCATAAATTCTCTTTGCAACTCCCAAAAAGAGAAACTATGTGAACATATGTCCACTGGAACACTTATCCTACATTACAGGGTCAAAAGTTTTTTGCCAAAAATACACCTCTTCCTGTGAACCTTTTAAGAGACCTGTGAAAAACGGACTCACTTTCTCTCATTCTGTTTGAGGAAACGCGCAGTCCGGTGACCGCGTCTAAGCAGCTTCCTGGCTGGCCTCGCCATCTGCCGCAAGCGGGCCCACCGCTCCTGCCTCGTCCCTCCAGCCGGTGACCTCTCCACGGTGCCCGGGCTGCTTCACTCCGCTGCACTCAGCGAGTGTTTTAGACACGCACGGCTTTTCCGGTTGAGTATGAAATCGAGAAAACAAGTGAACAATTTACACTGTACTTCCCAGCTCCTTACGCTCACTTGACGATGGCCGGGGGCTTAGGGGTGGGGTAGGCACGCTTGGAGGTTCTGGGCCAAAATTAAATTGCTCCGCATGAGAAACAGAGAGAATGTGGGAGCCGAAAAGGAAAGAAGGTTTAGGAGTCGCAGCGACCCAAGGATGAGGACTGGGAGCTGCCTGGGAAAAAGCAGAGAAGAGTAGTCCAGAGAAGGGTGGTCCCTGGAGAGGGCTTGTCACGTGACAGCACTGGGGGGGGGGGGGCCTCGACGGGACCCTTCGCAGCCCACACTGCAGTGCTGCTGACTCCTGAGAACCTGAGCGTGAGGAGCGCCGGAGACCTGGCAGGCTGCTGGGCTGTGTGAGGGGCACTCGTGTGCCCCAGCTGAGAAAACCAGAGGGGCTGTTGTGAGGACCAGGTGGGGTCTGCAGGGCCG